TATGGCAAATAAATCACATTATATTTTTGTCAAAGGTGTAGGGTATTATATGGTCGGCCTCGCCCGACTATAATTTCTTACTTGTTTTTTTTTTTTTTTTTGCTCAAAAGAGAGCTAAAACCATTTCCTTTAAGAGCTTTGTGGTTACTTAGTGAGATATAAAACAAAAATTTGTTGAACATGTAAGAAATTATAGTCGGGCGAGGACGCCATATAATACCCTACACCTGTTACAAAAATGAAATATGATTTTGTTTTCATAATAAAGCATTGTAGTTGAATGTACCTTGTCTCAGATATACTTAAGCCATTTATTGTTGAAAAAAATTGTGGACATTTAAGTCAAATTTTGAAGGGGGCTTTGTATAGGTGCTATAGTCAAATGAGACCCTATAATAATAAAATTCATGAGAGTCATCAAGGATAGTATAACACTTGGTTTTGCAGCTTTTTGTTGAGATACGAGTATATTAAACATAATTATGAATTTAAAAGCCCTATTCGGCGGGTTCAGTTGTATTGGGGCTAGGTGAAATAATAGACCGATGTTAACCATTTTTAATAGGCTTTGTCTCCGGTACCATAGAAGATCATATGCCAAATTTCATTAAATTATCGTCAAAATTGCGACCTATAGTTTGATTACAACGTTTACAAGCCCTATTCAGGGGTTCAGTTGTATGGGGGCTAGGTGAAATAATGGACCGATATTAACCATTTTCAATAAATCGACTCAGAAAATTATTCTAAGCCGATTGGTATACTTTAAGGTGGGTATAGGACCAATATTATTGTGCGTTACAAACATCAGCACAAACCCAATATACCCTCCCCACTAAAGTGGTGTAGGGTATAAAAATGTAAAAGTTATTAAAAGTCAATAAACAAATTTAAATAATGCTTTATATAACTTTAAAAAATAAACGGAAAAACCTATATTCGAGTAAATTTATGTTATGTAGCAAGTCAGAGTGCTATATTCGGCTGAGCCGAATCTTAAATACCCTCCACCAGCTACTTATACATATATTAATACTTTTCTAATTGATCAAATATTTGTAGAAATAAGTTTTCTCATGTCTTGAATAGAAAAAATACAAAGATTTAAACAGCTTAAATCTGTTACAATTCCATGATTTAATGAACATTACAAACACCATTTTCTTTATATTTTTATAGCGCTTAGCGATATTTAGTAATTTGCATGTATGCATGTGTGTAAAAGATTTAAGGATTTTCAAAATAAATATATATAATTTTGTTCTACACAAATTGATAATGCAACTAGTTAAATACGGTTAAAGCGCTTTTAGGGGCAGGACATAGTATGGAAGATATGGCCAATTATAGACCGATCGTAAAAAATTCTTTAAGCAAAATTTCTGTTCATAAAAGCTTTATTTCAGTAAAATTTTGTATCTATATCGTAATTTAGTAATAAGTAATGTGTGTTTAAGTGATTTTCGGGGCGTCATGAAATAACTCCCCACGAAATAACTCCCCAAAACAAAAATGAAATAACTCCCTAAATTTGGGAACATATTTCATTATGAAATAATTCCCCAATTTAAAAATGAAAAAAAGCCCCAACGAAATGAAATAACTTCCTAAATTGAAATGAAATAACACCCCATTTTTTGGGGATTCATTTCATATGAAACAAATCCCTAATTTTAAAATGAAATAAGTTCCCATTTAAAAATAGCAAATTATGGAACAAGTCGGTCTTAGTGACATTTCTAAAAAAAGTAGGTCGCTCATACTTTCAAGTGGGGCTTCAAAGTTTAATACATTTCAGTTTAATCGCTTAATAAAGGTTCCCTTAATAGCTGGCCTGCGGCCGGGCGCAAGGACTTTCAACTCTATGGTATGTCCAACAACGGCTTCGCTTAATAAATATTTCCTAAATAGCCGGCCTACGGCCGGGCGCAAGAATTTAACACTCTATAATATAACCAACACCGGCTTCGCTTAATAAAGATTTCCTAAATAGCCGGCCTAAGGCCGAACACTTTTGATACAAGGAGAGTGTATTCTTAGCGAAGCCGGTGTCCAATGTACCCCAGAGGATAAAACCCTTGCGCCCGGCCGAAGGCCGTCTATCAGACATATATTATTTATTTCGTGTGACAAATGTAATATAATGAAATAACTCCCCAAAAATATTTTTAGGGATTTATTTCATTTTTGAATTTTGAGGAATTATTTCATAATGAAATACCTCCCCATTTTAAATGTGAAATAATGCCCCAAAAAACGAATTAAATCCCCAAATTTCGTTGTTTTTGCTTTCTGAACAAATCTTTAGGGAGTTATTTCATTTTTGTTTTGGGAAGTTATTTCGTGGGGAGTTATTTCACGACGCCATTTTCGAAAGGGAACCTTGTATGGGACCGACCGCACCCATGTTATGAACCGATCGTGAAAAAATCTTGAAATAGAATTTTTGTATACAAAATTAATATTTGGGCCAAATTTTTTATCAATAGCTTTATTTATGAATATATTATACCCTCTATCACCACTGATGGTGGTGGAGGGTATAATAAATTAGTTTTATTGGGATATTTTGCAAAATAAGTTAATTATTTCATTCCCTAATCATGTGCTCTGAGACGGGTTAATGACCTGGGGAATTGTTAATAACTTTTACATTTTTATACCCGCCACCACCATCAGTGGTGATAGAGGGTATATATAACTTTGTCATTCCGTGTGTACCACCAAGAAATATTCATCTGACTGTAACAAAGTTGTAGGAATCGATTTAGCTATGTCCGTCCGTCTGTCTGTGTAACACACGCTCACGTTAAAACGTAGCAATAGAAATTCACGAAATTCACCCAAAACATTCTTTGTTATCCAGTACAGTTTGGTATCGAAAATCAGTAAAATCGGTTTACGACGTAAAAAGTTATGAGTAAAAATTTCAGACTACCTCGAAAAAAAAATAAGGTTTTTTCCAATTCTTAAGTGGTTTTCTCAGAAACTACCAAAGATATTTCGATGAATTTTGTCACACATTATTTTTTTGTGCCAGAGATCAAGTATGTTCAAACTCATAACAATTGATCCAATATTTCTTATAGCCCCCATACAAAGGTGTATATTCACGGAAATTAGTTTATCGTCAATAACAAATATATCGGCATCAACACAATATTGTGTACATACAAATATAACATGAATAGAAATCATACTACCAACGTATATCTCAGTCGGTCCACAATTGGTCTTAGCTCCCATATAAGGTCCACCTTCAAAAATCACCTAAACGCTTTTGTGATAAAATTCGATCTGAATATGTTTTGTGTACATACAAATCATTCTACCACATTTATTTTCGGATCGGTCCAATATTAGTCGTAGCTCCCATATAAAATTACTTTAATGCACACTTTAAGGCCCACTTCCGAAAATCACATAGCCAAATAAAGGTATCTTGATAAAATTCTCCACAAATATGTTTATATATGAATCACTCTACGAAATTTTTTTCGGATGGGATCATAATTGGTCATAGCTCCCATATAAGGTTCACTTCTGAAAATCACTTAAACGCATATGTTTCATTGATAAATAAAGCTATCGGTATAAAGTTCAACTTGAATATGTTTTATCATTCTACCAATTTTGCCCCGGATCGGACATAGCTCCCATAGGCCCTCTTTCGAAAATCATTCAAACTCACATATTTCATTGTCAAATAAAGCTATCTTGATAAAATTCGACACAAATAAGTCATTATACGAAATTTTTTCTTGATCGGTCCATAATTGGTCGCAACTCCCATATAAGGATCATTTTCGAAAATTACTTAAAAACACATTGACAATCAAAGTCATCGGGACAAAATTCGACATAAATGTGTATTTTGTATATATAAATCGTTATACGGAATTTTACTTCTGAAAATCACTTAATACTACTTAATTCACTCTTAAATGATTATATCCAGATAAAATTCGACATGAGTATGTTTGTGTATAGATAAATCATTATATTAAAATGTTTACAACTGGCTTATTAATATAAAATTTTATGAACCTAATCAAAATTAGTTCCACATATACATAAATGTTAGTACTCTCACTACGGAAACAACAATTTTGTCAAGTTATCTTAAAATTAGATAGTTAAATTTGTTTTAATAAAAAGTAGCTTCCACCAGGTTATTTAAGATTCGACACAGCCGAATATAGCACTCTAACTTGTTTGTAATAATTTTTTTCGGTGGGTTATAATATTTGTACATATTCAAAAACTAGAGAAATGTATCTTTTCAATGATAGCACTCACTTGTACCAAAAGCCAGTGGTTGATTTATCGCTATTTTTAATATGTCTGTACCCCTATGTTTATGATGAATTTCATCGCTTTATTCGTATTTTTAAGCCAGTAATTAATGTTAAAGTCATTTTCAACAGACATATCTAGATCGTCTTCGAATTTATTAAGGACCCAGAATATATATAGTGTTGTATGTGGCGTGTCATGATCTCCAGTGTCATAATGTCCATAGAACCTATGACACACCATAAAGTGACATAATGTCCATGGACATTATGACATTTTAAAAATAGAAATGTATTGGAAAATTTGTTTAGAATTTAAGAAGGGACACTTATCCCGAAAAGAATTGCTCCTATATTTGGTATATGTTGCATTTTGGATTTATTTTTAAAAGTGTCTTGGATAGCCGGCCTTCGACCGGATGCAGGGATTTTAACCTCTGGGGTTTTTCGAATACCGGCTTCGCTAAATAAAGACTTTTTTTGATAAATGGACTCTTTGAAATCCATGGACTTTATGTCACATTGCTCATGGACATTATGACACTTTTGAAATTGTCATAACGCCCATGACATTATGACACGCCACCACTTTTGTGAATCTATGACCAATATATCGATGTCTTACAAACGAAATGAGAATATCAATATACCCCCATCTTTATTGATGGTGGGTATATAAAAAAAAAACAAAATATTTATTTTCCAGGTATATGTTAAGTGTGCAAACAAACAAACAATATAAGTCGGTATTACATAAATACATAAACAAACTTATTTAAGCCTAGAACATAAGAAAATTACAGCTCGTAATGTCTTCTAACAATTATACAATGGCTGAAGCTGGAAAAAATCCACCAACTCAAATTAACTTAAGGCGTCCTGTACAAATAGTAAAGAAGCGTTCAGGACCATTAGACGAAGTATTAGCAGAACTTAATAAAAGCGAAACCGTCAGCACAACGACTTTCATGCAGTCATCATCAAATTACGTTAAATCTGCAGCTGCACCAACAAATTTTGCATCACATGTTAAAAGTGCAAATGTTACACGCCCATCACCTACCTTAACTCGGCGCCGTTCAACTCTTAAAGATAAAGAGAAGAAACGCGAACGATGGCTCTTGACAAGGAAAACATGGAAATATATGACAGATGCCGGCCGTAAACTTATACCTGATGGCGTTCAAAATAGACAAGAAGATATACCAAAGATCGAGGCACATTTCCAAAAAGTATGTGCTTCAGAGCCACATTTTGTTCTATGGAGGCGCAAATCATCTTATCCTGGTGCCATGCGTAATTCGAAAAAACGCCTTAAGCAACTACTTCAACATACAGGCCAAAAACCACAAGTCTTAGAGCAAGAAGAAATAAATAATGCTGATCTTGTATTAGAGCTCTTACATAGCCATTTGAAATTGGATGAAGCTATTAAAACTGATACACTTTTAGGCACTAAAACAGAAGGTCCCCATCAAACTAACTCACCTAGTGCCCAAAGACCAAAACCCATAACCAGATCCATAAGAAAAAGCGATGGAATGAACGTTTCTCTAAGGGGACCTGGCTTTCTACCACCAGCAGCAACCCAGTTGCAGGAATTAAGTATGGTCGATCAATTACTGCAGCAACTGTCAGCATTATCTCGTAGTTCCATGCTTCCTGATACCATCGATCTACCACCTGAGAAAATAAATGCCGAACTGTTAAATGATAAAGCGACTTTGAAGAAGATATACAACGCTTTAAAAAAGCAACAGCTACACCGTATTCTTACGAAACATTCCATACCGTCAAAGCCGCGTACAAATCTGACTCATTCAACATCCATGTTGTCGCTTTTGCATTTTGGTAGTAGCCATCCTAAGACTAAAACATTCATCAGCACCACCGATAAATCAATAAAAACGAAATCACCAACAGCAGCTTCTAATTTTTCATCGATCCCATCCATATCCTCCTCAAATACTTCTATAACTCCTGTTACCACAGCAGCGCAACACACACATTCAGGCATTCAGCCAGTTGTACCACAGAGGCAACGAAAACCCCCTACAAGTTTAAATTTATCGGGTATTTCTAATTGTTCTAGAAAAGATCAACAACATCGACCTGCCGTAATAGAAAAACAATTAAATTCATGTGGCACACAAACAAATTTTATACCTTTAAGTGAAATAAAAAGACTAGCCGAGGATTATAAAGAATACAAAAGGGAAGAGATTGCGGCAGAAGCTGGTGGAGGAGCAGGAGGAGGTATTGTTACAACAGATGATGAAGGTGAAAAACAAGCGACAAGTTATTCCCACCGTCGGAAAAGTTCCATTGACAACGAGGATGTCTCACAATCTGTAAGCGATACGATTAAACGTTATTTGCGAATGGCACGCAAGAAGAGCATTCATGATGAGAACGCTAACCGCTTTAAACGCGTTAACTATGATAGAAATTTACGCAACATACAAGCTAAAGGAGAAATAAATCCACCCGGAATGGATGAGGATAATAATAAGGCTGTTCAAACGTTAGATGCATGGGCTTTAATAACACTAGACTTTATACGGGGTAATGAAAACTCCGGTGTATTAGAAACGGCTCACAATGATTGGCAAAAGGCATTGGAGGAGCGTATACAAAGAAAATTAGAATATGAACAGAAAATTAGTGAAAAATATGATCGGCAACAGCAACCGCGATCAAGCGTCGTCTATCAATCGACTTCAAGTTGCTCATCATCGGCTCCAACCTCACCTTCGTCTATTCAGTCACCAACAATGACGAATAGAACATCCACATCGTCGTCTGGGTCCTACGATGTAAGGTCCACAATAGAACATACAAATGTCGGTAGTTCTGGCAATAATGTTGTTGTGGGAATTAACACTACTGGAGAAAATGTTAGCAACATGGGCGGTATTTTCCATTCAAGTTCACAATTTATAGCAAATCTTTGGCATGTCACTACCAACACATCCAACTGTTCTTCTCCCATATCTGTTGCAACAGCAGCAAACAACCAAAAACAAGACCAACTTAGTACGACGTCAGTTAATGATTGTTTCGATGTAAATATTGCCTCAAATAACAGTAAGTTTTGCTTAACCTTTCTAAAACACGCTTTTTATTTATTTTGTATGTAAATGTTGTATACAGTGTAATTTATAATGTACGCATTGTTATCAATTTTTAAAAATTCGTGTAATATAAATTTAGATTTTCTCATATGCCTATATATTTAATAATACAGTTCAATCTTTATATAAATTTCTTTAATAATCTAAAATTTTGTTTCGAAATAATTTGCTTATATAAAAACATATAGCTCATTTACTACAAGACTGGCATAATCCAAAAAAGTAGTTTCAATTTAATGGCAATGAATGTTTAATGACATTTTAAAATATTTTAAATATCTTTTAAACAATTCAAAGAATTTGAAAAATTAAACCAGATTCAGGTAGTAGAGTAGTAATAGTAAAAAATCGAATTTAAATCGAAAATAACATTCATACATATGTCAAATTTGATAAAACTATATGAAATACTTTAGTATGATGCACATTTTGTAGCACTTAGTTCTACAAACCCGTATTGTGAATTAAGCTAATGATAGTAGAAAAAATTGTGTAGGGTATTTTCAATAACTTTTAATGAAATTTCAAAATGATAAGACCACTTTTGATAATATTACAATTTGTTGTTTTTTTAATTATGTAATTGCAAAATTGTACAAATGAAAGGTTTAGAATTATTCAATATCGATCAATTGTCGATACTATTGCTTTTGGTAAAGATCAAGGGCAGGAGTAAATTATTTCCTGTTGACTACTTTAAGGGTTGGCATAGTTTAACTAGTTTACAACATCCGGGAAAATTTAAAAAAATCCAACTTTGTCAAACCTACTCATTAACACAAAATATGATAAAATAGTAGGAAAAAATATTAAATTAAGAGTTTCAACAAGATTTTCATAAAAATATTCTTATTCCAAAAATGTTTATAACATGTATTAAATATTGATGAATAAATTCCAGATTAATAGGTGATATTTCCAAGTGTTTTTCGAAAAAAGTTTAGTTGGGAATGGAAGAAATAATTTTTTTGCGATCTTTTTACATGCTTATAATTATGCAGTAATTTATCTAAAATGTTTTCGACATTTCCTCTTTTTTCTATTTGCATGAAAAGTTCTAATATGTATAAAAAAAAGTATAAAACAAGTACGAGTGCTATATTCGGCTGTGCCGAATCTTATATACCCTTCGCCATAGTGTATTTAATAAATATCAATTTCATTATGTTTAAATTTATTTCATTTTCCCGACTATATCATTATTATAGCAATAGCAAAACAAAATGAACAGCAACAACGCTAAGCGAAATAACCACACAAAAACAAAATACACAAGGCAGTAAAACCAACAGCATCCAAACATACGAAACTGAATATACCAAGAAACAAAAACAATATACACAAGGCAATGAAACCAACAGGCATCCAAACATACGAAACTGAATACACCAAGAAAAAATATACACAAGACAATGAAACACACAGCCATCCAAACATATAGAACGAAATACTCAATGAATAAGCAGCGTTTAAATATGCAGCAATAGCACAAGATTTCTTTTGTACGACTATGCAATAAATATAAAATTTCAACATTTTTCCATCACTTTACTACTAGAAATATTTGTTCTGTTTGCAATTTTTGTTAGCAGGCGCAAAATATTTCAAAACAATCAAAATATATTTTTCTGTTTTAGCAGCGCACGCAAACAACAGTCGAACTACTATTGCCATAGAAAAATTGTGCAATAAATTGTGTTGGTTCTACTAATGCCAGTAGCAAAATGAGCAACTGTCAGTTGCAATTTATCGTATTTCGGCGGCTCCTTATATTTTCTATTCAATACATGTTTCAGGTTTTCTTTGTGATTTGCTGTGCTTTTTTATTTTGTTTGTTTTTATAATAACCAGAAATTAACCCAATGTTTTCGCGCTTCTCTTTGGTATGTTGAATATGTATGTATGTATGTATGTATGTATGTATGTATGTATGTATGTATGTATGTATGTATGTATGTATGTATGTATGTATGTATGTATGTATGTATGTATGTATGTATGTATGTATGTATGTATGTATGTATGTATGTATGTATGTATGTATGTATGTATGTATGTATGTATGTATGTATGTATGTATGTATGTATGTATGTATGTATGTATGTATGTATGTATGTATGTATGTATGTATGTATGTATGTAAATAATAAATAATAAAAATAATAAATTGCAACTGGTAGTTGCTCATTTTGCTACTGGCAGTAGCAGAACCAAAACAATATTCTGCAGCTATGAAGAAATTAGCAGCACAACGATGGCGTGTGTGCGTTACTATAGCAAAAAATATATTTCGATTGTTGTACAAACGCAGAAAACGAATACTGTGAATGTGAGCTGCTAGAAATTTCAAAGTAATGTTGCAATTTTTAGTAGCAATAATATTAAAATGTGAAGATGTTAAAATATTTTTAGTATTATATTGATAAATATGTGTATTTTACTGCAAGTGGTTACTAATATATTAGTAAATTTAAACGTTGTGAATAAGCAGTGTTGTTGTTGCTTATATATCAAAACATGAAAAAAAATTTCTTTTTTATGAAATTTTCAGAGGTTGTCTGGGATTTTTGCTCATATCTCCGGTATTTATGGACCGATTTTGCTGACTTTAAATAGGGATCTTCTCGAAAGCATGTCTAACAGAATTATCGGATCTCTCCGATATCCGGGGACCTCTAAAAACTGATTTCAACAAACACACAGACGGACATAGCTTAATCAACTCCGCTACCTATAAAGATCCAGAATATATATACTTTATGGGATCGGAAAATTATATTATAGAAATTACAAACGGAATGACAAACTTATATATAGCCTTCTCACGAAGGTGAAGGGTATAATAACAATAAAAATCATTAGCATCTTTTATTTTTTACATAAAAATTAGCACTTGTTATAGTTTTAAAACTATAAATATGTCTATACTATAGTCTATAGTTGGCATCAAAATACTTACACATAAAATACATACTTAAAAATCGAAATGGAAATGCGTAAAATAAAATGTAAAAAAATATGGGCATTTTCGTTTAAATTGAATTTTTAAGTTGGGTCACTTGAAACTTAATTGCCCATATGTAGCATTTACATCACGATTAAATCATAATCTGATGTAATAAATGTTTTTTAAGATACTTTTAGTTCTGTTATAACCCATATATATGTTAAATTTCACGGAAAAGAGACTTAGATTACATAAGAAAAAGTTGTGGGGTTCTCAATCATCCGAACCTCACAATTGCTCTGAAGTCCTTACGTTGACAGGCTCATGTATAAGTCTTAGGCACTGCTACCAACCAACTTAATCATGAAAACCAAAACAGCTTCACTTCGAATTATAAAAGGTACTCACTATTTATTATTTATTTTTTTTTTTTTCAATAAATTTATAATATTAAAATCTACACTTCAAACATTTATAAATTTTTTATCCAATGCAAATTAATGGTTTCATCTAAAATAGTTATAGTACATATTGCTGATTCTTCACTTTATACATATATCCAGTTTCAATTATTGCTCATTTCATTTTAATAAAATTTCTCAGAATTATATTTGTCTTCTATGTGAATATGCCTAATGAAATTGGGGAGTCAGAGACAGAGGGGTTTCAATACAGAATACCAATTAATTTTTTTTTTTTTTAACCAAAATTTGAAGATTCTTTTTAAACAAAAATCCATTTCATTATTATTGGACGCTTAAACGATAATTTAATTTTACAGCATAAATATGCCGCAAGTCACAGCTTTTATTTGTAGTAAACTTACCGCTTATAAAATATTAACTCCTATAGATTTAATATTGTGTTTAAACATGTATTTTACTGATTCTTTTCTTTAGGTGCAGACATGATAAAATCCAAGTCCTTGTCGCACATCGGCCAATATGTTTCAACAAAAATACTCAAAGGGCATACAAAAAATCAACAAAAGTCAAGTGAATTACTGCCATTAAATTCAGCAAACACATCCAAAGTACCAAAATGGTCAAAGTCAGGAAAATGTTCTTGGAGTTCAGAAACTGGCGAGAAAATTAATTTATGTGATTGTGCATTCCACGTTTTGTCCGATTTGGAGGCCAAAATGGTACAAAAAATTTGCTTGGAGAAGATAGTTGAATTAAATATTGGAGTCGACTTAAGTATATGTAAGCAATATTATCCATTAGTGAACTTTATAACCAGGGACACCAGCTTGTATTTGCGCAAACTGTTCTCTAAACATTTATAAAATATTTATGTTTCATATATGGGGAATTTCGTGTCAAGTGACCCAACTTTAATAATCGACGTCCTCCGATTTGGATGAGTACAAAGCTCTTCAAGTCAATGGTGTAAGCTTTCTTTTGAGCAAAAAAATATAACAAAAACGTCCATTTTGAAAAAATAGGGGAAAATTAAATGCCAAATATTGAAAAAAAATGTATTCTTAACTAAAAAAATATTTTTTTTTTTAAATTTGAGGGATATTCACCTCTAGTATCCCATTATGGGACTATAAAGCCCTTTAAGGAAATTGTTGAAGCTTTCTTTTAAGCAAAAAAACAAAAAGGACACATTTTGAAAAAGAAAAAAAATAAAAAATATTAAAAAAAAATTAAATAAAAAATATTAAATTTTTTTTTTAATTACAAAATTTTTTTGGAAACCCTGTATGTCCAAAATGTGCCACTTTGACCCACTCTAAGTCCGGCAGTTCTAGACCGATAGAGCTAAACTAACTAACATAGTACTAACCTTGGTGCAAATTTCATCCAAATCGGAAGACATCGATTTTAAAAGTTGAGTAACTTGACACGGAATTCCCCATATATCAAGTAAAATTTACTACAATTCAATTTAATAGTACATTAAAAAATATTTGTTCAATTCACAATCAAGTTGTATATTGCACCTACTAAAGTGTAGTAACAGTGATTGTAAACCAGTGTTGCTCAAACACATACCACCATAGACTACCATAGTTTTATTTGTGTTGGTAAAGCAGCAGAGAACAGAATTCAATTCAAAATAAAAGTATACTAAAAAATGACTATAAACTATAAAGCATATGCTAACTGTCAAATATTTATTATGGATTTTGACAGCCAGCGTATATCAAAGTCTATATATAAAAAACTATCAACTGTTCGGCTTTCTCAAAATTTTGTTGTTGTATTTTTGTGTGTATTTTAAAAACGTCGCGTACAGACCTTGCTTCGACAAGTGCTGATCAGCAACTGATTTGATTTTGTTTTTCAAGTTGAGAGCAAACCAACTGATATTGCTCATTATAAAAAGAAGAAGAATTAAACCTATAGTGTATCTGTATCAACTTAGCGTCAGCAGAATTTTGTTACCCTATCACGCGTGCTATGTAATAGCAATCTTGAGCTCCTCTGTTGTAAACAGATCTTTGCAGCAAGTCATAAGTTGAGAAAATGAGAGAAGAATTAAATCAGACATACATACATAACAATGTCAAAAAAAAAAAACAAGTGAGAGTGTTAAATACGGCTGTGGCGATTCTCATATACCCACCATCAAACCGTATGCCGTAAAAGGAATGCTCCCCTAGAAATATCAGTGATATTTGGAATATGGCTTAAGTCAATTATGGACCGAGCTCTTTTGAACTAACAAAATATAAATTTCTAAAAAGAATATATTTTTGTTCAATTTTTAAACCATGAGCGTATGAGTAATTCTCTGAAGAGGACCTTTATATGCGTCAATTATGAACCGATACTCATAAAATTTTGTACATAGATTTCGTTTTGTATAGAACTTGTTTATATCAAATTTTATCGCAATACTCGTATTTTAAATAAGAAACTTTTATAACCAAAACTCTTTCCTGATGGGAACCTTTTATAGGGGCTAGGGTCAGTTATAAATTAATCCTCATTAAATTCGGAATGAAGAATTATGTTCCTAAGTATAAACTTTTTTGTGTCGATTTTTATCGCTGTACTTGTAATTTTCTGAATCCTCCTTATCAAATTTTCTAAAGAGGACTTTATATGAGGGGTATGGTCAATTATTGATCTATCCTCATAACTTTTTGTAGACCGACTTTGGTTCATATAAAACATGTTTAGATTGAATATCATCGATATACTCGCATTTGTATGCCAGTAATTAGCGTTAATGTAATTTTCTAAAGGGGGCTTATAAGCGTGGTAAGGTGAATCACCGACACATTCCGCATGAAATTCGGTAGCAAGATTAACGTTGGTATAAAAGTTTCTTATGTCGAATTTCATAACCGTATTTCATAACTCGCATTTTTAAGCCAGCAATGATCGTTTAAGTAATTTTCTGAAGGGGACCTTACATGGGGGGTAGGGTCAATTATGGACCGATCATACAATTTGTTAGAGAGATTTTGGCTAGCGAGGAACTTACTTGTGTCAAATTTTATCGCTATACTCGTATTAATTTATTTATTTGTTTATTTATTTATTTATGTATTTATTCATTACTATAATATAAAAGCTTCATTAGGCCAATTAAACTATATTACAAAGAAAGAAAATGCCTAAATATCAATTAAACAAAAATTGCTTAAACCTAAAAAAAATCTCAAATAATTACAAGCCCTGGTCCAAGCGAAAAAGGTAAGTGATAAAGCAAAAGTTAAAGAACTCGATCCCAATGAATTACATAATAGAACTTATCACAAAGAAAGGAATGTGTTGATATACAAACTGTAAACACTAATGGTAAGAAGAATTGTTAGAAATTGATAACAGTTTCAGGCGGAAGGAATTATTGGAATGAGAAAACAGGCGCAGTTCAAGTGGCAAATAGTTCCAACACCGGGCAATTCTCACTAAAAACGACTTTTCAAAGAAAGTATTATTAATTCTAGGTACAATAATCTGGGGATTCCTAGTAGAATGCGAAAAAATTCATAGTCCTATAGAAAAAAGCAAATTACGAAAGAGAACAAATTCAGTAAAAGAGCATCCAAGAAAATGTTCAGCAAATCTAGATACGTGGTCACGTCTACCAACACCGTATACAAATTAAAATGTTTAGTTTATATTTAAAAAAAATATATATTTTTATTTTCACTTTCACTTTTACATTAATAATGTAACACTATGAATTACACCGCGTCTTACAATTAACTCTAAACTTTCTTAATTCTAAGTGTCATATTTATACCTAATAAGAAGCACAATCAGCAATTAATTAATAAAAACATAATATTGAATTGCAACATAATTATTTGTAAATTGATATTATATTTTTAATGTTCAACGAATTTATTTGTAAACTATTTTTTATAAATATTTTATTAACTGTCAGCAAATAATTTTCAGGTTCAGTGAAACTTATTTAGGTCAGTTTTATTTAAGACAGTTTTGTAAATTTGTATAAGAGCATTTTCATGCTGTTTCCATAACTCCCCCTTTTGTTAGTTGAATCGTCCCGATTGAATCATTTTGGAAAATTTGTTTTAATGTTCTAATAACTTGTTGTCTATCTGACGGATTCTCAGGATGTGGAGTTGTTGGCTTAGTTCCTTGATTATTTGGCTTAGTTCCTTGATTATTTGTTGTTGAATTTGCTTTGTCTTTTTGTTTCCATATAGTGTAAATAATAATTATGTCATTGAAAGTATTATGTTTAAAGAAAACTCAATTCTTCTTTCGGTTGATAATGAGCTTAATTCCTGAACATTGGTCAACTGGACTTCTTTCATCATTTGAAGAGAAAGAATTTCTTCAATATCTGTTTTGTTAGATGTTAATTGCAGAATGGGTGGAAGCGGTTTCCAATCATGTACTTCCATTGCAAAATAATCAATACCGTCTAAAATAATTGTGGTATTATGAAATTTTATTAAAAAGCTTCCTGATAAATTCCATGGTTTGGCGTTAGGGATCCTTACAGAACCATTATATTGATTTAACAGGATTATTCCAGGTTTTATTTCTTCAATGGTTGGGACGTGCTGATTATTTATAATTGTACAATTGTGATTCTCACTAGACAATAATTTTGGAATACAATTTGTGTTTGTAATATTTAAAAGATTTCTATTGTTACATTTTTAGCTTATTATAGGTTTTGCAATTAGTTTTCATTTCAAAAATTTCATTCTTACATTTAACAATATTTTCATTTCCAATTCTTATTATAGTTTTATTTTTTTTTAGCGGTTTGATTACAATATTTTCACAAATTTGTTTATTAATAGTTGTACGCGAAAATTAAAAGATGTTGATCGGCTTGTTGTTAAGCATAAACTAACTTGTTATTTATTTGCAAGCAGAGATACAAGCCGATGCAAAATGATCGGCGGCGGCGGCGCAACCATATTAGGTCGGCGGCGGCGGCTTATTATAGAAAATATCGGCGGCGGCTAAATTGTCGGCTCAATTTAAGTTTTTCTTCAGAAATTGAGCTTATAAGCGTTTATTATATTGAAAAATCTCTGTATAATAGTCCGTTATATATAAACCTATCTCTATATAAGGTTTTTTCTGAAGAAAATGGACATTTATAGTAGTTTTCACTCTTTTAATATTAGCACAATATTGAGTGACAACTTTTTTCAATTTGCCATAAGAATTTAAAATAGTGGCAACTCTATTCAAATTGGTGAAATTATTTTCTGAAATACATGTGTGATTCCAATATTTATCAGCGGCTACGTTTAAGCCGGCTTAGCTTTTGAGCCGAAAGAAATCGGCGGCGACGCGGCTTGCAAAATATTACCGGCGGCCAGCCGCCGCCGATTTGAGCCGTCTCGGCTTGTATCTCTGTTTGCAAGTTGTCCATCAACTTGTTTGTCTCATCAACAATGTTTACATGTATGTTTGCATGTATGTATAATTGATACAATGTAAATAAAGGAACAAAATAACAATAACAATGGTAATAAAATCACTCAAGAGAGTGTTCTTTAAAATAAACAGGTTTATGTACATATAAAAAAGAGTATTGCAGTAGATGCATCGTATGATTTAGAGCGGGTTTTTGAGATGGTAATCAAATGCCAATTAATAATCAGATTAGTTAATCTAAAAATTAAAAACAAAAAAATGTATTTTGAAGTGTCCATAATTTATACTAATCAATAAATAGAACATTTTAATGTTTATATTTATAAAAATTTTATTAATTTTTTTGCATCAGCTGTTTACACTTGTGC